GCCCACACTTCCTTTATGACAAACATGGAGTGGGTGGGAGGGCAAGCGTCTCAATTTCACTGTGTTTCTTGCACTAAAAATCACAGGTATTTGGATACTGCCTCAAACTGAATTCAGTTTATTTCCTCCTGTTGGATCAGGGCTTCCTTACTGACACTTAAAGCAGGTCACAAATGTACAAAGTGGTATTTATGGCGGGGAAAAGCAATGACCTTGAACTTCGCTGGGCCCGTATGCTGACCACTGATGCTGCTCTCTCCGGATAGTCTGTTCACACTGTCCTCTCCTGGTGACGACTTCACACCGCCTCCTCTCTCTTGGAACCTTCAATACCACCTCCGCTATCTTCACTCTTAGCCAACAGCCTTGCTGCCTACTTCTTGAATCAGAAAGAAGCAATTAGAAGAGACTTCCCTGTTTGCCCAGCTCCACAGCTCCCCGCAGCCAGCACCGGCACCCCCTCCCTGTAGCATAGGGAAGTTGCCTGTGCCCCTCCCAAACGCATCCCTCCAAGGGACCCCAACCCTTCTCAGCAATCAAGGATATTGCTCCCAGATGCTTTTCTCTCTCTCCTGCACCAGGAAACATATTCATTCCATAGTCATACCTCGCCATCGACAAACAACTGTTACTATTTCTCTCCACTAAAGAAAACTCTCCTCTTGACACTCTTTTCCTGGCCGCTATTCACCCCATTACTTTGAGGCAAAACTCCTCAAAACAGTGATCTATATTTTCTCTTCTCATTGTCTGTTAGATTCGTTTTAATTTGGCTCTTTCTCCCTCATTCCCCTAATGAAACTAGTTCCGTAAGACCACCAGAGACCTCTGGCTCCTAAATCTGATCATTTCAGCTCTGTCTGACCTTCCTCCATCACCTCGGTGTTTCTTGAGCATGTGGCAGGTTCCCACCTTCAGGCCGTTGTCCTTTCTCTTCCATCTGCCTCGAACACTCATCTCCTTTAAGCTCACTTCCCTCTCGTCTTCTCAGGTATCATCTTTTCAATGAGGCCTGCTCTGACCTTTCTATTTTCGATTGAGTCCTTCCAACCAACCTTTTTTCCTGATCACCTTTACTCAGTTCTACTTCAGAAAATACTACGTAATGTATTTATATTTTTGGTCAATAGTTTATTGTGTATTTCCTCCATGGGAATGTAACCTGTGCACAGATAGGGCCTTTTGCAGTTTTGTTTACAGAAATATGCCAAGTGACCAGAACAGTAAACTTGCCACAAACATCTGAGTTGCAAAAATGAATGAATGAAATTAGCCCCTTTTTTCATTTCTTATTGACCAGTTTTGATCAATTATAGGGGGAGAAGTGTTTAGGGAATACTTGAAAAATTGGATGAAAACCAATTTCTTATAAAACAAATTATGCTTTAAATAATCCAGGAAAGCAGACTTTTCATTTAATTTATATACTTTTAAAAATGAATACAAATGCACAGTTTTAAAAGCCCAATAGTTATACCGCTTAAAATAAAAACCAGCATGCCCTGCCTCATGCATTCCCGATCTTGGTTTTTCAGTCTTCAGATAAAAGCATTTTTACCAGTTTAGGTGTTTTTCCCTTGTATTTATCCTCATAATCTTTACATATTTATATATTCTTATATTACTGATTTATAGTTAATTTTTAAAATATGTTCTCTAGTGACTTCCTTATTTGGAAACTAAGAATTTACTGTTTTTAAGCTATTTCCTCTCCAATATTTCTTCTCTACCTCACTCTTCTTACCACTATAAATATGTCATAGGTTTTGGTTAAATCAACATTCATCTGCATATACTTTTTGTATGGCTTTTTATTTTCCTTGGAGATAATAATGGCCTCACTTTTTTTTGTTTGCTTAGTTGACTTTGTATCATTAATCTATCTCCAAACTCTCTGCCAGCAGAATAAATCTCAGTAATTTCAAACACATCTCTCAGTTTATTTATTTTTTTTGTCTCTGACACATCCCTTCTGGTCCACTTCTACTCCAGTCTGGATTGGTTTTCTCAAGGCCTGCTGTGAAGCTGTTAGCCTGGGATCACCCTTTAGCATCTTTCTTAGAATTTTGTTAGTTTCCCTTCTTGGTTCACCCCATTTCCTGGATCCCATGTGGTCTTTCTTGATTTATTCAATCATTTTGATAGAATTCACACTCCAACAGCTTCCTGAGAAATGAGTGGGAGGTAAATATGTTGAGATCTTGCATATATGAAATGTATTTATTTTATCCTCATATTTGGTTAATATTTTAACAGGGTATAAAACTCTTAGTTGAAATCCTTCTTTTTCATCATTTTGAAAGAATTTAATCCTCTGTTAGCTTCCAGAGTTGTTTTCTGATACCTGATATAAGTTAGATCCTGTCTTCGTGAGATCTCTGTGTGAATGTGTGTGTTTTCCTCTCTCTGGATGCTCTTAGGATCTCATTTTGTACCCATTGACCTTTCCCAAGGTCAGGCAGCTAATAAGTAAATGTAGGATGCAAACCTCAGCTTGTTTGGGTCTAAAGACTGAGCTCCTAGTCACTACTCCCAACTGCCTCACCCCCCTACCTGGGAATTGCCATCTGTGTATCACTTTCTTTCTCTCACCCTGTGGAATTAGTCACGAAATCCTATTAATCCTCCATTCTGTCTTAATTCCATCTGTCCATTCCAATTGCCACTATGCCTCCTTACCCTATATTGAGATCATCACAGCACATTCCTACATGGTCTGCCTGCCTTTGCAATCCCCTCTCAATCCATTTTGTACATCACAGTCAGACTAATCTCCCCTTATCACTGTTTTTAGCATCTACCAATACAGATTAAGCACCCAGTGCATGCTTAGCTGGTTCTGTGTAGACCCCATCCTTACGTGGCCTAGACAAGTTCAGGAGATCAGTTCTGTGCATTTACAAACCACAGGTCCTACTGCCTACCTGAGTAATTCTAGACTACTCAGTTCCGCACGCACAACCATCTGTGATTCAGTCCACCCACCTATATGACTTTCATTTCCTATATATAGTGCTCCAATCCAACTGATCTAACTGGGCCAAATGAGTGAATGTTTATTTGGAAAAAATATCAGTTATTAAAGGTTTTTTTTCATTCTTTCAACTAATATTTACCAAGGATCTCATTGTAGTCAATTTTTAGGTACTACACAGTCCTAACAATTTATAAAACTTTATTTATGAAATCAAAATTAAATGTATAATTTAATGGGAAGATTAAGCATCTTCGTTGTCTGCTACTTGGGTCTTGTTCTTTAGCTTTCTTTGGTGACTTCTCTCCTTCATGGCAGGTCAGAGACCCCTCCAACTCAACTTGAGAACTTTCCTTTTATTTAATTTAATTTTTTTCTGAAGTATAGTTGATACAGTATCATATTGGTTTCAAGTATGTAACACAGTGAGTGGTTCAACAGATACACATATTATTTAATCCTCACCTCCCCTGGTACAGTTACTATCTCTCAACAAAGAAAGAACCATTGGTTATGTTCTCCATACTGTACAACCATCCCTGTGACCAACTGATATAATGACTGAGATTTTTGTGTCCCTTTATCCCCCTTCCCCTCCCCACCCACCCCAATCCCTCCCCCATGGTTACCACCAGTCCCTTCTGAGTGACTCTCAGTCTATTAGTATTTTGTTCATTCTGTTTTGTTTTGTTTTTAGATTCAATGAATAAGTGAAGTCACATGGTATTTGTCTTTCCTTACTTGGCTTTTTTCGCTGAGCATAATACCCTCTAGGTCCACCTATGTTGTTGCAAATGGCAGGATTTTTTTTCTTTTTTATGGATGAATAATATTCCATTGTGTATATGTACCACATCATCTTTATCCATTCATCTACTGATGGACACTGGTTGCTTCCATATCTTGGCTATTCTAAATAATGCAGCAATGAACATAGGGGTGCATATATCTTTTCAAATCAGGGATTTTGTTTTCTTGGGGAAAATTCCTACAAGTGGAATTCCTGGGTTGGATGGTATTTCAATTTTTAGTCTTTTGAGGAACCTCCACGCTGCTTTCTTCAGTGACTATACCACTTTACATTCCCACCAGCAGTGCAGGAAGGTTCCCTTTTCTCCACATCCTCACCAACACTTGTTATTTCTTGTCTTTTGGATGGTGGCCATTGGTGTGATGTGATAAAGTGGTGACACCTTTCCTTCTGATTGGTTACTCCCATAGTCTCCTTTTTATTTTTTGGTTCTTTATTGCTAGTAGAACCTGTAGCTAATTGAGAACAT